AACCCCCCAAGCAAGAAGCCTGGTCAGAGACCGGACCGTGGGGACTTTAATCCTTGGAAGGGTAAGGTGGTAGGGCGTGGTGGTGTAATGGGCGGGGCGAGGGTGTGGTGGAGCGAGGCGGGGGCGTGGCGTGCTGGGCGGGGGTGTGCTGAGGGGGTGTTAAGGAGCAGAGAAGTAAGGCGCAGTGATTATACAGTAGGTCTGAGATTGTGGGACTTTAGTGTGATGGGAGGAACGAGGGTGGGACGGTGAAGGGGTGAGAGGGGGCTGAAGTAATGGGTGATGGAAGGGAAAAGCGGGTGGGAAGGGAGAGTAGGGGGAGGGGAGATTAGAGAAAGTGGCTGGATAAAAATTATGTACAGTCGTGAGAGAACAATCCAATTGAGCCCCCATCCATTCCCTCCATCCATCTGCAATTCTGTTCCGCCCTCTCCACTACTCCCTCTGCCACAGCACCGTGACCTGTCTCGGACCTCAGCGTGAGCAAACGACCACAGTCTCGGACCTCAGCGTGAGCAAACGACCACAGTCTCGTACATCAAGCCATAATATTACTGTACAGCGCCAGCTCCTAATACCACCACACGCTGGTAAATAAATGTATCGCGAGATATCCCGCCTCGCATCACCAGCTGTCTCCGGATCCACAATATATAACAACAATACTTTCAGGTATTGCTTTCTATGTGATGTGGCCGCGGTGCCGCCAGGGAAGGCTTCCCCAAGCACCTTCCCCGTGAAGGAAATAAACTAATCGCCTCTACATAACCCGGTTATATACCGTTACTGAAAGTTGCGTCGCTGTTAATCGCTTCTTTGTAACCCGATTATATAATAATACTAGAAGATGCGTCTCTGTCAATCATCTCTATATAACCCGGGTATATCATGTTACTGGTAGATTCGTAAGTGATTTTTTTGAGGGGGGAGGGGAAGGGGGGCAGACTAACCAAACATACAGTATAATATTGCGCGAGTTAGGATTAGTTTAGCTGTATTAGGTAAGGGTTGGTTAGGTTAGATTGGCTACTGAAAGAGCTTATCAGCTTTTAGGGATTTATGGATGCTGGGGTTTGGCTTCCATCTAACAGCTGGTGCGGTCTGGTTACCATCTATATGTGATGATGTCTGCATGGCCGCCATTCCTGGATACTAGTATCTGACTGCCATCCATAGGTGCTAGTACTTGACTGCTATCCTTGTGTGTGTTGGTGTTTAGCTATCATCCCTGAGTGTTTGCTCTGCCATCTATGGGTGCTGATGTCTCGCTGCCATCTATGGGTGCTGATGTCTCGCTGCCATCTATGGGTGCTGATGTCTCGCTGCCATCTATGGATGCTGATGTCTCGCTGCCATCTATGGATGCTGATGTCTCGCTGCCATCTATGGATGCTGATGTCTCGCTGCCATCTATGGATGCTGATGTCTCGCTGCCATCTATGGGTGCTGATGTCTCGCTGTCATCTATGGATGCTGATGTCTCGCTGCCATCTATGGATGCTGATGTCTCGCTGCCATCTATGGATGCTGATGTCTCGCTGCCATCTATGGGTGCTGATGTCTCGCTGCCATCTATGGATGCTGATGTCTCGCTGCCATCTATGGATGCTGATGTCTCGCTGCCATCTATGGATGCTAGGATCTAGCTGTCATCCCTGTGTGCTTGTATCTGCGACATACCCAATGAGGCGGCTGCTCAAACGTCAGGAAACAAGCGCACCATTGAAGCCAAGCCGTATAGTGCTGACGCTAGCGGTTATCTTGAGGTTATCTTGAGATGATTTCGGGGCTTTTTAGTGTCCCCGCGGCCCGGTCCTCGACCAGGCCTCCACGCCCAGGAAGCAGCCCGTGACAGCTGACTAACACCCAGGTACCTATTTTACTGCTAGGTAACAGGGGCATAGGGTGAAAGAAACTTTGCCCATTGTTTCTCGCCGGCGCCCGGGATCGAACCCGGGACCACAGGATCACAAGACCAGTGTGCTGTCCGCTCGGCCGACCGTCTCCCTAATCACACATCACAAGCGGTAAACACATCACCTCGAACACACTTTTTACTGTGAACGTTGAGGGCTGAAACTTTCTCAAGTGGTTTTAGCTTTTTTCCCTCAAGGAACTTTTAATACAAAAAAAAACACACTTTTCATATCAAACCGCACATTATAAAACGACGCCACGACGACGTTTCGGTCCTTCCTGCATCATTATCAAGTCGTGTTATGGAAAGAGTGGAACAGATAAACAATATGAGGCAAGAAAGTGAGATGAAAGAAAGGGAAAGAGAAATATGAAGGTAAGAGAAAGATGAAGGTAAGAATAAGATGAAAGGTACGAATAGGATGAGAGGAAATATAAGAGAAAAAGGTAAGAAAAGATAAAAAATAAGAATAAAGAGAACCAGGTAAAGTAAAGGTAAAAAGTTAGAAGTAAGGAAAGGAAAAAGGAAGAATAGGAAAAAAGGATATAAATAAGAAAAAGTTAAAAAATAAGAAGGTAAAAAAGAAAGGAAAACTGCAAAAAGCTTAATGGCGAAGAGAAAACAAAAAATCTAGCAGCGAATGAGAGAAAGAGCGAGAGCCAAGAGAGCCTAGAGAGTGACAGACTCAAGTCAGATAACGTTGGTTAGAAAGGTTAGCGCATTTAAGGATGCACTCTGAAACGTCGATATTCATTCATTTTCTGATGAGTGGTTTGGATATCATATCTTCAGTCATGTTATTGTGACTCATCGTCTGCAATTTGTCATATTTTCAGTTTTGAAACTGAAATTGTAATTGTAAATGTTTTCCCTTGCGTTCAGTGGAGAGCAGCGAGGTGTTTCCCTCCATTATATTTAGACCTGGCTATGAACAGCATCACCCAAGAACGTCTCACTCTTGCAGTTAAAAATGTCTATAGTTCATTTAGAAATGAAAGCATATTACCTGGCGTCAAATAAAGGAATTCAATTTAAAACCTGCCTCCGATAATGAGGTAATTAGGAGCATTGTAATTTAATGGGATTTAAAATACTATAGATCTTCTGTTAACGAGGATTTGGTACACTGCTTGAAGATAATCCCTTGAGGACCAACGAGGCTAAGAAGGGGTGTAAACACGGTTTATATCTGCTCTATTACTCGGCTCCTAGCAACCCTTCCCTCTACCTCTGCTCACTGACTCTACCACAGACACGACTTACCCAGGCTGTAATGTGCAAGTGTCTGAGTGTGTGTTTGTGTGTGTGTGTGTGTGTGTGTGTGTGCGCTCGTGTGTGTATGTGTGCGTGCGTGCACGTTTGTGTTAAAGTATTCTTCTGAAGTGACTGACACAAACTAGAGAAAACGGCAAGAGTATTGGGAGGAGAACTGAGGTAGGTGCAGTATAGCACCTCTCAAGGAGGAGGCAAACAGTAACAGCACCAGTAAGAGAAGAAATATCAAAGCAGAGAGCGGTAACGAGCGGAGTACCTCAAGGATAGGTAATAGCTCCCAATCTGGTCTTAAAACACGTAAATGATCCGGCAAAGAAAACACAGTAATTCACCAAAAAGTTTGCTGCTATTTCAAAAGAGGTGAGAAGGATCACATTACAAAATAAACTAGACCGTCTCAAGAGGTAATATGAAAAATGTCTATTGGATTTATAACGAAGAATAATACAAGTTACCAGGACAGCACCGGGGTGAAGAGCTCGGAAACGGAGGAGAATGACAAGGGCGCGGCATTCTACTTCACAAAAGGGAAAACAGGAGTAGCGCAGCGGTGAGCGCAATTGGTCCACAACCGTGACGTTTGGGCACTTTTCTGAACTATACTGAACTATATACGGTGACTGAACTATAAAGCAAGACAAGACGGTCCTGGAGCTCTCCAAACCGGACGAAAGAAAGAAAAGGGCAGAGACATGAGAGCGACATTCAAGATTGTAATGAAAATCAAGCTGATGTAAAGAGAAGCAATATTCAAAGCGATGAGCAGCAGAGCGAGAGAGGGGGGAAACAAATATAAATATGAGACACAAACGGCTCACAGAGGTGTCAAGGCATCAATTATGAGTAAATGGTATGAATAAGACAAGAACCTGTCTATGCAAACTTAACAGTTTTAAATATAAATACGATAAGGTAAGAAAATAATAAAAAAGCTCTACACCAGTCTCCTAATAAAGATCAAACCTTACCATGTTTACTACATATATGGTGAGAAAGACGAGTGCATAGAATCTTTTCAATTAACTTCTCTTGCTCGAAAGGCGACTCTACAAGGCCACCACCGTGAATACATAACTGTATCACAATCAAAATACCAAAAATTCATGCAAACGCATTTAAATCTAAATTTAATGATATATCACATTCATAACTCATGCTCAAATCCGATCATAATAAATGTATCATAATACGATTTTGTATGAGATCCGTAACTATCCACAAGACAAACCAAAAGCTTCGGTGACAATGAGTTCCGGACGCGACCAAGAACAATAATATATGTGTGTGTGTGTTCCAGACTCTGGAGGACAAGCGGACCAACTGGAACAAGTTCCATGGCTCTTGGGGCAAGCGAGGCGAGGAAATCCAGGTACAGTGCTGGATGGACAGATGTTTCTTGGATGTAGGTGTGTACTGGAGCTACAGGTGTGTACTGGGACTGTAGGTGTGTACTGGAGCTACAAGTATGTATTGGGTGTGTACTGGAGCTACCGGTGTGTACTGAGACTGTATGTGTGTACTTTAGCTACAGGTGTGTACTGGGATTGTAGGCGTGTACTGGCGCTACAGGTGTGTACTGAGATTGTAGGCGTGTATTGGAGCTACAGGTGTGTACTGGGATTGTAGGCGTGTACTGGAGCTACAGGTGTGTACTGGGACTGTAGGTGTGTACTGTAGCTACAGGTGTGTACTGGGACTGCAGGGGTGTACTGGGAAGAATTAAGATGTGTACTGGTGTACTGGTGAGGTACGGTATTGTTTATGCTGACCAAGGCATGTAGTGATGAGAACAAGGAAAGTAAAACATGTACTGGGGAGTGATGAGTCCATGATGAGTACTGGGGTCAAGCTGCTTACTTGAGAGTGTTTAGAGATGTAATGCAAAATCAAGTGATGTGCAAGGAACCCACGCTAGCTTACGACAAAGTTATTCTAGACTCAAGTAAATCTTGAATAATGTTCTAAGGGATCTAGGAAAGTGGTGAGGGCTTCGTATGCGTACAAGCAGGTGTAACTGCAGGATGCGTATGTGTGTTAGAACACCGAGGTGCGTCTTGGAGGATGTAGACAAGGACAGGTGAGGAACACGTCTGTCTCTCTCCCTCCCACAGGCCGCTGAGGACAAGAGGACAAACTGGAACAAGTTCCAGGGTTCCTGGGGCAAGCGAGGAGACGACCTGGCCGACGCTGAACTACAGGTAAAGCTTAACATCACCTGCTGACGCAAACATTTCCGCTACTCTGTCCGTCAGTGTCTGTATTCGGCTGTCTCCGTCCGTCCGGCCGCTTGGCGTATCCCGTCCTCCCGATGTAACCTCTCTGTCCCTTATTCTGCCGCTTGTCTCTCTCTCTCTCTCTCTCTCTCTCTCTCTCTCTCTCTCTCTCTCTCTCTCTCTCTCTCTCTCTCTCTCTCTCTCTCTCTCTCTCTCTGTTACGCAATTTCCATAGATTTGATGGATTTCAAAATATTTTATTTTAATTAACGAGATATTTGGTCGTTTCATGGAGATTTTCCTTCACACGGTTTAAGTGAAATGAAATTTAGAGTCGTCCGAATTTGTGAACAATGATATTTTGTTCTCACGTAGACACTACGTTAAAGGTCACAGCAGGAAAGTGGAACGTTCATATTGTTCTGATGAACAAGAGCTCAAAAGTCACATACTTACATCCAAGCACACATGAGCGCTTCCGCTGGTGTGCATACATGCATTACACATGTGTTACACATGCGCTACACATGCGTATCACGTGTATACAAGCACACAGCTGCCAACCTTCACGCGTTCATTTGTCAGAGCTCATACACAGCTATGTATACATAACTCATACACAGCTATGTATACATAACTCATACACAGCTATGTATACATAACTTGTTTGTACATTATATATATACAAACAAAAGGTTGGTAGTAACAGATTAACACCTTATGTTGGTTAACATTGGTTAATACACGCCAATACAACATAAGTGAAACGCTTGCAAAATGTATTATAATACATCAAATGTAATGCACAATACATGAAATCCGTGAAGTACCCTTTACAAGCTGGATAAAAATGTTAATATAAAATACACTTTTGTTTAACCAGTACCACGTCACCCTTAACAGTGTCACCCTTCACAGTGTCACCCTTCACAGTGTCACACATGTCACCCTTAACAATGTCACCCTTCACAGTGTCACCCTTCACAGTGTCACCCTTAACAGTGTCACCCTTCACAGTGTCACCCTTCACAGTGTCACCCTTCACAGTGTCACCCTTCACAGTGTCACCCTTCACAGTGTCACCCTTCACAGTGTCACCCTTCACAGTGTCACCCTTCACAGTGTCACCCTTCACAGTGTCACCCTTCACAGTGTCACCCTTCACAGTGTCACCCTTCACAGTGTCACCCTTCACAGTGTCACCCTTCACAGTGTCACCCTTCGCAGTGTCACCCTTCACAGTGTCACCCTTCACAGTGTCACCCTTCACAGTGTCACCCTTCACAGTGTCACCCTTCGCAGTGTCACCCTTCACAGTGTCACCCTTCACAGTGTCACCCTTCACAGTGTCTGCCCCTCACCTGTTCTCATCCCTCATGAAACTACACCGCGTCTGTCTCTCCCCCTCACAGGCCGCTGAGGACAAGAGGACAAACTGGAACAAGTTCCAGGGTTCCTGGGGCAAGCGAGGAGACGACCTGGCCGACGCTGAACTACAGGTACGACTGTCTGTGGTAAAGTCTCTCTCTCTCTCTCTCTTTCTCTGTCTCTATCTCTCTCTCTACTTCCCTGATTCCTTTTAAAAATTATATTACACGTATTATACAGGCTGATCAGGATAAAGTCAAGAGATTCACCAATAACGATAATTTTGTTGGGCTTTTGTATGTAAGGGTTAGGAAATATTTGTATTTTTGCTGTGTTTTAATATCAATGTAGATTAGAGCTTAATACTGAGTAGGGGGTATTTTTTGGTGTGTGTGTGTGTGTGTGTGTGTGTGTGTGTGTGTGTGTGTGTGTGTGTGTGTGTGTGTGTGTGTGTGTACTCACCTAGTTGTACTCACCTAGTTGTGTTTGCGGGGGTTGAGCTCTGGCTCTTTGGTCCCGCCTCTCAACCGTCAATCAACAGGTGTACAGATTCATGAGCCTACTGGGCTCTGTCATATCTACACTTGAAACTGTGTATGGAGTCAGCCTCCACCACATCACTTCCTAATGCATTCCATTTGTCAACCACTCTGACACTAAAAAAGTTCTTTCTAATATCTATGTGGCTCATGTGTGTGTGTGTGTGTGTGTGTGTGTGTGTGTGTGTGTGTGTGTGTGTGTGTGTGTGTGTGTGTGTGTGTGTGTGTGTGTGTGTGTACTTCCCTAAGTGTCATTACATAAGAGTAGTTACAGGACGAGAGTAACACTCGTGGTGTCCCGCCTTTCCAGTACTCTTTGTCACATGACGCCTCCAACAACACCAGGTTTAGTCCTCCACCGCCTTCTCCTTTAACTTGCTGCATCTCTCTACTGTTTCTGTTTGCAAAAAGAAAACTTTCCAATAATATTTCGTCACCTTTGTTTTTTTAGCTTTAATCTATGATCTCTTGCACTTGAAACGATAGGTTTCAAGACTTCCTCTTTGTGAATTTTGACGATTTGTGTTACTATTTTGTATGTTGTGATCATATCTCTTCTGTTTTTCTTCTATCTTCTAGTTTTGGCCTATTTAACACTTCTAGCCTCTCCTCGCGGCTCATGATTTTCAGTTCCGAAAGCCATTTGATAACAAGCTTTTTTCTCCTTTTCCAGTTGATTGATAAGCATCTTGAGATATGGGCTCTATACAACCGCTGCATATTCCAACTTTGGTCTCACAAACGTCTTGAACAATTTATTTAGTGTTGCACCATCCATGTATTTAAAAGCGACTGTGAAGTTGGAGAGCACAGCACCTCGTGCAGTGTTCTTAATGTGTTCCCCTGGTGACGGTGTTCTCTACAGGGTCACACCCCCCGCCCCTAGACCTCTTTCTTCGTCAGAGTTCTTTAATGCTTCCCCACACAACATGCAGGTTGTGTGGCCTGTTTTTTCTAATTCGACATTCCAGAACATGACATTTATTTACACAGAATTTTATCTGCCATGTGTTGCTCTGCATACATATTTTGTCCACGTCAATTGATAAGCTTGAGAATCGACTAAATCTCTTATCTTTTCTAACAGATTAACAACATCAGCAAACATTTTCAATTTGGTTTTGTATTCCCGATTGATTGATAAAGATTAAGCCACCCAATAGGTGGCACGGGCCTGGGCATTACGGGCACGGGCCTGGGCATTACGGGCACGGGCCTGGGCATTACGGGCACGGGCCTGGGCATTACGGGCACGGGCCTGGGCATTACGGGCACGGGCCTGGGCATTACGGGCACGACCCGTAATTTTTTGTCCTTATTCTTTGTTTTTCCCCTTGTTATTTGTATTCCTTCTGGCGGATCATTTATATAGACGATGAACATTACTGGTGCCAGAACTGAACTCTGAGGTGTTCAGCTAGTTACACTTCACCAATCTGATACACTTTCTCTGATTACCGACCTCATCTTTCTGTCAGTCAATTTTTCATCGATGTCAGTAGTCTGCCTCTCACTCCTCCGGCATGTATCAGTCTCCAGAACAACCCCTTGTGTGTGTGGGACTGTCAAAAGCCTTTCTTTAGCTGCAAATAAACACAGTCGACCCAACCATCTGTTTCAAGTGAAATCTCCGCGGTTCCATCGTAAAAAATTAGTAGATTTATTACAAAGGATCTTACTGTTCGGAGGCCATAATGTCTGTCAGTTATTATGTAATTTTATCCAGGTATTCTACGCATTTGGTTTTAATTATTGTTTGTACTGTTTTAATCGCCTCACTTGTCAACGATACGGGTCTATAATTTAGAGGGTCTTCTCTGCTACCATTTTGTAGATTACAATCAAGCTTCCTTTTTCCATATATCTGCTAAGATGGATAATGAGGCAGACAGACAGAAATACAGACTAACAGATGGGAATATAGACAAAGATATAGACTAACAGAACAGACAGACAGACAGATCGTTCTCTCTCTCCCTTCATCCCTTCCGTTCTCTCTCTCTCCAAGGGACAAAACATGTTCTAGTTGAACCAAGATCGTATCTTACTTTAATCGACGTTGAACCAACTTTAAATCAGTATCTTCCACGTTGATACACAGTTGATGATTGCTGGAAAGTCTATTGTTTAACAATGTGGCCAATCAAAACCTCATTTTAGGCTTCATAGCCTTCGCTGGTTGACCCAAAACGAGTCAGTCAGGGGGGGGGGGCCGACCCCTACCACCCAATGACACTCGCAATACAATCACAATTCACCTTGCAAAGTTGCACGAGTCTAACGGCAAAACTCGGATCTCCAACCTTAAACAGACATATATTTTTTAACTCATAATTTTCTCCCTCCCACAGGCCGCTGAGGACAAGAGGACAAACTGGAACAAGTTCCAGGGTTCCTGGGGCAAGCGAGGAGACGACCTGGCCGACGCTGAACTACAGGTACGACTGTCTGTGGTAAAGTCTCTCTCTCTCTCTCGCTGCCAACCCACACCTACCTACCCACCCACACCCACACCCACACACACACGCACACACACATCCCCAGCATGTAGCCGGAAGCAGCTGTCTAACTCCCAGGTTCCTAGTTACTGCTAGGTGAACAGAGATATCAAATGAAAAACCTCTGCCCATTTGTTTCTACCTCGGCCGGGTATCGAACTCCGGCTTTTAGGACTTCGACTCCCGAGCGCTGTCCACTCGGACGCGAGACACCATGTGTGTGGGTGTGTTAGAGAGATAGATGAGTATTAGATATGATAAGAGGAAAACATATCGGGAGTGAGTACATTAGCCAACCGACGATTAGAAAGCTGGGGTCCAAGAGCTAACAACTCGATCCTGCAGGAACAAATAGGAAACAAAAATAGTAAAAACACACACACATGCATCTCTATTTACGAAATGTTTTCTTCTGCTTCAGGAGCCATTGCCACTCAAGAACAGATTTACGAGACAGAAGAACAATGTTTCACTTGCTGCGCTTAGATAATAGCGGCTTGCAAGAACAAGACAAAAAATACGTCTCTCAGTATTTAGAAGCGATGTAAAAGCAAATATGAAAAATCAATGGCTTACGGGAAGGGTAACACACAACTATAACAGCCTCAGACAGCAACTTGTAGCTCAAGGTTATCCCGGATAAGGATTTGGTAACGCTGCCAGACAAGGCTAACCATAGCCCGTGCTACTTCCCCCGCTCCTGTGCCAGGTAAGCTACGGGCTCACCATAGCCCGTGCTACTTGGAACCTGTTCCGAGTAGCTGAATCTATAACAACAACAACTGCTGCCAGACATATTTAGTCTCCAGCGACGCAAGAACCGGATCACGTCCCACTGTAGGCCTCGGAAAAAGACAGGAACCGGATCACGTCCCACTGTAGGCCTCGGAAAAAGACAGGAACCGGATCACGTCCCACTGTAGGCCTCGGAAAAAGACAGGAACCGGACCACGTCCCACTGTAGGCCTCGGAAAAAGACAGGAACCGGACCACGTCCCACTGTAGGCCTCGGAAAAAGACAGGAACCGGACCACGTCCCACTGTAGGCCTAGGAAAAAGACAGGAACCGGATCACGACCCGAAGAAGAACATCAGGGGTAGACAGGAACCCGAGTAGCACCACAAGACACCTCACAGAATGATCACAAATTTCATTCAGGCTACAGACATTATAGGACATTACCTCACACTTCCCGCCTCAACCAATTTCTCTTACAAGCTCTTTTATTTCATTCCATCCCTTACTAAAGTATAATTTTTACTAAACAAAATTAATCAGTTAATGCTCCAATTTTACTGTATCTTTGTATATTGTGATTACACTAAAGATGTTTGGACTATTTTGAATATAATGAATACGATAGAAATGGTAAAAATATATATCTTAAGTTAGATTTGGGTGAGTTCACTAATCATATGTTATCTAATCATATGTTATCTGGTAACGATTGCTTTGAATATATTTATATAAATTGGTCACCGTTTTGATGCTAAAAACTCAAGCGGAAGTTAGCTTCAGTTCTTCCTACATTTACTATTCTGGCCCATGCTCATGTGTCCCGAATCAAACTGTTTTATGTATCCGAATCCCGTTCCCCAAACTTCTGCATGTATCCCAATCCTATACCCCCGCGCTCATTCATGTATCCAGGTTTTGTATCCAAGATCATCTATGTGTCCCTTATGCTATCCCCAACCTCATTCATGTGTTACAGTCATGAACCCAAAATTATTCCAGGTGTCCCATCCTGTATCACAAACTCATCCCTGTGTCCTGCTACTCTACCCCAAGCTCGTCCATCACACAACAAACTCCCTTAACTCACCCACCTGCCCCCCAAACATTCCCCTAAACTCATATCATCCTAAACAAATCCACAAGGGCCGTGACCCTCGTCACGGCCCTTGTGGATTCGTTCATTTGATGCATCACGCTATTGTGATTTCTGTGTGTCATATCCTCCTGCCACATTCCTACTGAACAACGAGTCTGTTCACCTTCCCGAGTGTACACTAGGATCCGGGAAGGTAAAAGTGTACCATCACCTTCCCAGAACTAATAGCTTTCCCTTCCCACTTCCCCTACCCCCTTGCCCCGCTCTCTCTGGCCAACAGTCAGCCGAGGACAAGCGCACTAACTGGAACAAGTTCCAGGGTTCCTGGGGCAAGCGCAGCGACTGGAGCAGCCTGCAGGTGCGTGTGTGGTGCTGGCGGCTCTCTGTCTCTCATTCTCTCCTTCTCCCTTGAAAATCAATTATTTTTTGTTGTAAACAAAATCACAATCTCTACATATATAACCAGTTTCCATTAACTTAAACAACAACGTCAATGAGTGGCTGAGCTGGTGGTTGAGTGAGTGGCCGAGGGAGTGACCGAGCTACTGGCAGAACTCGCACATTTGTTGCTAGAGTATCTTAGCTGAGCAATATACTCTTAAGTGTTAGATTACCCTCTGACACACACACACACACACATCATTGAGCAGCACTACGATATCTCAACCGATAATAATCCCTGGATCACAAGTGATTGTTGAATGTGAAACGTGATTGCTGTTTCAAACGATGAAGTTTCATAATAAAATAGTAATTCAAATTTTTCTTTAAAATGTTCATTCGTGGCAAAATTTCGGGGAAATGGATGTGGTGGTAAGTAAATGTGTTTGTAATATGCGAGTGTGTGCATGCTCGAGTGTGTTATGGTGAGTGAGTGTGTGGCTGGTGGAGTATGTTAGTAGTGCCTGCTGGAGTGTGTTAGTGTGAATGTTAGTAAGGTTGGTGGACAGTGTCAGTGAGGGTGTGTAGACAGTGTCAGCGAGGGTGGTGGACAGTGTCAGCGAGGGTGTGTGGACAGTGTCAGCGAGGGTGGTGGACAGTGTCAGCGAGGGTGTGTAGACAGTGTCAGCGAGGGTGGTGGACAGTGTCAGCGAGGGTGTGTAGACAGTGTCAGCGAGGGTGGTGGACAGTGTCAGCGAGGGTGTGTGGACAGTGTCAGCGAGGGTGTGTGGACAGTGTAAGCGAGGGTGGTGGACAGTATGAGCGAGGGTGGTGGACAGTGTGAGCGAGGGTGTGTGGACAGTGTGAGCGAGGGTGGTGGACAGTATGAGCGAGGGTGGTGGACAGTGTGAGCGAGGGTGTGTGGACAGTGTGAGCGAGGGTGGTGGACAGTGTCAGCGAGGGTGTGTGGACAGTGTCAGCGAGGGTGGTGGACAGTGTCAGCGAGGGTGTGTGGACAGTGTGAGCGAGGGTGGTGGACAGTGTGAGCGAGGGTGGTGGACAGTGTCAGCGAGGGTGTGTGGACAGTGTCAGCGAGGGTGGTGGACAGTGTCAGCGAAGGTGTGTGGACAGTGTGAGCGAGGGTGTGTGGACAGTGTCAGCGAGGGTGGTGGAGAGTGTCAGCGAGGGTGGTGGACAGTGTCAGCGAGGGTGGTGGACAGTGTCAGCGAGGGTGTGTGGACAGTGTCAGCGAGGGTGTGTGGACAGTGTCAGCGAGGGTGTGTAGACAGTGTCAGCGAGGGTGTGTAGACTGTGTCAGCGAGGGTGTGTAGACAGTGTCAGCGAGGGTGTGTAGACAGTGTCAGCGAGGGTGTGTAGACAGTGTCAGCGAGGGTGGTGGACAGTGTCAGCGAGGGTGTGTAGACAGTGTCAGCGAGGGTGTGTAGACAGTGTCAGCGAGGGTGTGTAGACAGTGTCAGCGAGGGTGTGTAGACAGTGTCAGCGAGGGTGGCAGTGAAATTGTGTGACCGGGTGAGTGGGGCTCTCCGTCGACCGAATAAACACAAGAACCACCTTACTGATGTTGCAAGTCGAAATCATCCCATCAGCCGAGTGCCCAACTTCGTTAGTTCCAGCCTCACTAACCAGTTTGTGAGTGCTCTCTCTCTCTCTCTCTCTCTCTCTCTCTCTCTCTCTCTCCTCTCTCTCTCTCTCTCTCTCTCTGCGACCTGGAGTCCGACAACGAGCAGCACCAGAAGCCCCTCTCCCCTCTGGCCCTAGCTAGGCTGATGGCAGCCTCTCCTCAGAAGCGCGGTTGGGTACTGTGGGGCAAGCGACCGGACAACACAAGAGTCTCCCCTCGCTCCACTAACTGGTCCAGCCTCAGAGGTCAGTAACCAGGGCCGAGCACTGCCGGCCATACAGCTTTAGTGCCACTCATAACTTTTTTATTCTCATTAGCAGATGGATAGTCCCAATAACAACATTTTATATTATATATATTATATATATATATATATATATATATATATATATATATATATATATATATATATAATATAAAATATATATAATATAGCGTGAATCTCTTAAATAAATAGAGCATTGAATTTGTGATGTGCCCTTATGTTGTATTCATGGTAGTATCATTCTCTGGTCGAGATGGTTACGAGTTTGTCCGTCATGAAATATTTTACATGATTAGGGATTTTGTAAACATGGTAATTACTTGCAACATTTTTAATCAGGTAATTTTTTCTGACGTGAAGAATCCTGAATGCCTCTTAGAATTAATGTTTTATATTTTCAAATTTTCTATATTTTTTTCAAACTGAAAACAAATATTTTGAGCAATTTCATAATCTTTTGAAGGTGAAGACTGTAGGGTATTTGGCACTGATGCCACAATTAATATCCTCTGTCCCACATGTTCTTGAAGCTCTCAAAAACACTGAAGAAAACAGAATGCTTTATTCTATCATGATCGTACGAGTAAAAATAATTACCAACATTTGTCGGTTTCTTGCATACATAAAAGTTAAAATTATTTTCAAATTTATTATAATAATCTAATACATCTAACAATCTTTAAATAATATTTTAGTTTCCATTTTGAGCTTTAAGGATGGGCTTCAATATTTACTACTGATCAATAATATTTACTACTAATAATCATCTGTATATTTCTCTTCGTGGCCAAAATACATCAACATATTGAAAACATGTGACATTTTTTTTTAATAATGAATTCTATTGTAAATCATTTGTAAAGGCTATGGTCAAGACTCTTTCTCATGTTTCAAATAACTGATCAATGAAGTTCTATGGACTAAACCCCCTAACGAGAATCTTGCCCCCCCCCCCCCCCATCACGTCAAAAGATTTCATTATACTGATGATGTGTTCTAATGATCCGTTCAAAATGAATCGGACACTCGAACACTGAAAAACGATGATACACACTTAGCCTCTTCATTAATTATGTATCTGTGATCTCTGACAGTATCTATTAGAGACCTCAGCACATAAAAGATACACATACATAATGATGAGCAGAAGGACTGTGCGCAGCTACCAGTGACCACAGCAACACTCCTCCAGTCACAGTGACCACAGCAACACTCCTCCAGTCACAGTGACCACAGCAACACTCCTCCAGTCACAGTGACCACAGCAACACTCCTCCAGCCACAATAACCACAGCAACACTCCTCCAGTCACAATGACCACACAGCAACACTCCTCCAGCCACAATAACCACAGCAACACTCCTCCAGCCACAATAACCACAGCAACACTCCTCCAGTCACAATGACCACACAGCAACACTCCTCCAGTCACAATGACCACACAGCAACACTCCTCCAGTCACAATGACCACACAGCAACACTCCTCCAGTCACAATGACCACAGCAACACTCCTCCAGTCACAATGACCACACAGCAACACTCCTCCAGTCACAATGACCACACAGCAACACTCCTCCAGCCACAATAACCACAGCAACACTCCTCCAGTCACAATGACCACACAGCAACACTCCTCCAGTCACAATGACCACACAGCAACACTCCTCCAGTCACAATGACCACAGCAACACTCCTCCAGTCACAATGACCACACAGCAACACTCCTCCAGTCACAATGACCACACAGCAACACTCCTCCAGCCACAATGACCACAGCAACACTCCTCCAGCCACAATGACCACCGCAACACTCCTCCAGTCACAATGACCACACAGCAACACTCCTCCAGCCACAATAACCACACAGCAACACTCCTCCAGTCACAATGACCACACAGCAACACTCCTCCAGTCACAATAACCACACAGCAACACTCCTCCAGACACAATGACCACACAGCAACACTCCTCCAGTCACAATAACCACACAGCAACACTCCTCCAGTCACAATGACCACCGCAACACTCCTCCAGTCACAATGACCACACAGCAACACTCCTCCAGTCACAATGACCACACAGCAACACTCCTCCAGTCACAGTGACCACACAGCAACACTCCTCCAGTCACAATAACCACACAGCAACACTCCTCCAGCCACAATGACCACCGCAACACTCCTCCAGTCACAATGACCACACAGCAACACTCCTCCAGTCACAATGACCACACAGCAACACTCCTCCAGTCACAATGACCACACAGCAACACTCCTCCAGTCACAATGACCACACAGCAACACTCCTCCAGCCACAATGACCACAGCAACACTCCTCCAGTCACAATGACCACACAGCAACACTCCTCCAGCCACAGTGACCACACAGCAACACTCCTCCAGACACAATGACCACAGCAACACTTCTCCACATTCAAAATACAATGACTATTTACAATTTATTCAAAATTTCCTACCTGCAAATCAAATATAGTCCTATTAAGTACTAAATTCATCATAGGGCAACTCCAGACTGACCCCTTGCAATATTGCAATAAATTAATCATCATTCTGCTCTCCATGAAGTGGGATCAGAAAAGTTGACACATCTCACAGGTACTCTTGATGCATTCATCTCTTACCTTGACACTGCAACGCCCAACACGGCCGCCACGTCCGTCTCCGTGCCTAGATCACCTACCTGCAATTAGCAATTGTGAACATTAGGCCTAGGAGTTTCGGTGAGCTTTGAAGCACTACGAAGCTCTTTATAACAATAATAATCCATGGGTTGTAAAGTTTAAAAGTTCATAACTTGTTTAATAAATTAAAATCAAGCCGCCATGATTGATGAAACAAGTACAGGTTACGTGCGTGGTGGCGTCAATGATTGATGAATCCTGGCTCAGCTGATGTGTAGTTGGGCTCAGCAATGTTACAATGAAGGAGTGTTGCAAATATTGCTCCCTGATGATCTATGATGGGAACGTTTTACCTCGACGTCAAAATATTCACAGTTGGTATCACGCTTCTCTCACTTTTCGATAACACCTTTTACTTGTGGGTTTGTATTGTGACTCCCTGACCACTTTGTCATGCACTGAGACTCCCTGACCACTTTGTCATGTACTGAGACTCCCTGACCACTTTGTCATGCACTGAGACTCCCTGACCACTTTGTCATGTACTGAGACTCCCTGACCACTTTGTCATGCACTTAGACTCCCTGACCACTTTCTCATGCACCGAGACTCCCTGACCACTTTCTCATGCACCGAGACTCCCTGACCACTTTGTCATGTACTGAGACTCCCTGACCACTTTCTCATGCACCGAGACTCCCTGACCACTTTCTCATGCACCGAGACTCCCTGACCACTTTCTCATGCACCGAGAATCCCTGACCACTGGAGAGAGAGAGAGAGAGCGAGCGTGCCACGTTACCACATTATGGCTGCTGGTGTTGGTAACGAGTGCCAAATCGTTTTTCAATTTCCTACAATCAAAAACTGTTATAATATGCCTCGTGGCAGCCGAGCATACACGCCGGCGAGAGTATAACAGAGAATGATTAGTTATTTGTAGTTATTAACGACACAATCACACACAGAGAACGTTAACAAACTCTCCACCTGCAGGAACATGGGGCAAGCGTAATGGGGACTGGAACAAGCTCCGGGGCGCCTGGGGCAAGCGGGCAGCCGACTGGGAACAGTTTAGAGGATCATGGGGCAAGAGATCTCCCGGTAAGTAGTGTGCTTGTGACTACACTTCTCTCTCTCCTTCTCTTATTCCACCCGTCACACACACGCCTCTTTCCCTACCGCAGGTTGTGGAGTTTCGAAGGTCGTAAATCGTTTAATAAATGTAAACAACTCCACGATGATTAAAGAAAGATGTAGAGGTTTGGTGAGTGGGTGTGTCAGTGCCAGATGACTCCTGGCCCTGGACCAGCCATTCCCTTGTGGTTGATAATACGTGAAGCCTCGATAGTCTGACGTCGAGGGTTCACTGCTAATGAAATCATGTGTCGGCAGCCTTACAACGTCTCCATGAGGCTTCCTTTGGGACGGATTGCCGTGAGCGACGTGCTGGATGGGGGGGGGGGGGGAGAATTAGTGTATTAATAGTTAGGAATTAATTTTAGATATATAAAATAGAATGCCTGTTTGTCCAAAATTGGAGCCCAGGGGCTTAGGGCTAGCCACACCCAAATTTTCCGAGATGAATTATGTTGAGTAAAGTTACAGGGCAGTTGGGGTCGGCCCAAGTGAAATATTTTAAGAAATCTTGGCATTTATAGAGACCCCCTCCCCCATACGATTTTCATGAAGTGTGATATATTGGTTGTGATCCCCATAGAGTTGTTTAGCAGATAGTGTATCGTAATAACAAATTTTGTGTTAGAAAAGTGGGGGGGGGGTAGAGGACGAGACAAGGGCAGGAAGAAGGGTAAAGTGAGGGGGGGGGCGGAAGGAGTCCTGGGCGTTACCGGGTACCCCCTTTTAGTATTATATAAAAGGAAAGTACTTAGAGGGCTTCTTCTGATAAATGTATCAATGTTTTCGCTGTATCAGTTAATGTGTGAGAGAGAGTGTGTGTGTGTGTGTATGTGCGTAGTTGACAAACATCCGGCTTCCTGTCCTCGTGGAGTCCTCTATTAGATATAGTGGCCCTCGGGTAAAAACATGTGTGTGTGCTTTTGAATACTAATTTACTCGTGTGCGGGATTTTTCAACATCATAATTTGCACACTTGTGTTGACTTCGTGTTCTTGAGCAAGTCATGGGAATATTTCCCCTACTCGACAGTGGACGCAATTTAAGCTCTCCTCCGTCTATTAATCACTCGGCATTAATCTTCAATCTAAAATTGCTCGATCAATTCCATTTCTCCCGCGCTAATTACTTTCTTCCCCGGGAGTAAATTGGACGGTAGGATATTTTTCCTCGACTGACTTAAGAGTGAAGATTCCTGGTAGTTAAGTAGTAGTAGTCTGAGAGGGTCACCTCAGCCGACATGACCAGCTGAGAGGGTCACCTCACGCGACATGACCAGCTGAGAGGGGTCACCTCACGCGACATGACCAGCTGAGAGGGTCACCTCAGCAGACATGACCAGCTGAGAGGGTCACCTCAGGCGACATGACCAGCTGAGAGGGTCACCTCAGGCGACATGACCAGCTGAGAGGGTCACCTCAGGCGACATGACCAGCTGAGAGGGTCACCTCAGGCGACATGACCAGCTGAGAGGGTCACCTCAGGCTACATGACCAGCTGAGAGGGTCACCTCAGGCTACATGACCAGCTGAGAGGGTCACCTCAGCCGACATGACCAGCTATTTTCCAAAACGTTGACTATTGACCTTATTACTAAGTAAAGCAATTAACTCACCGTCCAAAAATAATTTATTAACAAAATCTGACGAAAAAGAAGCTGTAAGACTCATGCCCAAAATTAAATATTTTCAATTGTCATTTATCATTTTATATCAAATAATATTTAAATTATTATGGGGTGGGGATGGGGGGGATTAAGGCACAGTACGCCCCGTGGGATGACTGACTAAGGTGACCACAACAGCGTCCCGACCAGCCAACAAGTATACTTCAGTCCCTCACCGTAGTTTACGACCAAAGAAAACTTTTCACGGACCGTTTTCTCTTTCTTGTTGCAGACGGGATGAGCGACGCCGCCACCAGCCTGGCTTAAGGCAGCGTCTTCCCGTCAGTCTTCGTCGTCGTCGTCGTGTGCACCTGATGTGTGGCTCTCCCTGTGTCACCCTCCCTCCATCTGTGTCACCCTCCCTCCACCTGTGTCACCACTATGGTCCCTCCATCTACGCTACTCCTGCCCCTCCTCCAGTCGACACCTCCATCTCAGAAGTGACCTTGGTCTGGCCACGCCCACAGGACACGCCCACCCGGCCCCACAACACGGGTCACCACTCACATCTCCTCACCTGGATGCTGGTCCTTACCTCAGAGTCCGAGATGTTATTTTCCATAAACCTCGTCATTTGATCACACCTCACTAAAGTTCCCTTAACCATATAAATAAGTATGTATATATATATATATATATATATATATATATATATATATATATATATATATATATATATATATATATATATAGTGCAGACAATCAGTGTCGTATTATGAACACATGCAAGGTTACTATAAAAAAAATTATACAATTTTGTCTACCGTTTACATCCAAGAGGAAATGTCTAGGACAATGTAGTGATGACCAGGTGCTGGCCCGTCCAGGTCCCTGTCACGTCAAGGAGTCAAGTCACGTGTTGTAAAATACAGTACCTCTAATAAAGTCCTGGGTGTAAACAACATAGAGTATTGTAGGCGATGAGTCACAATAACGTGGCTGAAGTATGTTGACCAGACCACACACTAGAAATTGAAGGGACGACGACGTTTCGGTCCGTCCTGGACCATTCTCAAGTCGATTGTCGACTTGAGAATGGTCCAGGACGGACCGAAACGTCGTCGTCCCTTCAATTTCTAGTGTGTGGTCTGGTCAACATAGAGTATTGTAGTTACTCCGTCACTCTAATGTTGCTCTGCTCTGATCAAATATCCCCCATAAATGAAACTAATTGTTTATAACGTGTGATCTTTAGATACATGTGATATTTAGTGTATATCATTAGTATCTACAGCAAAAGACGTATCTTTACATTATGAGTTTTAATATTTTGAATAATTAGGACGAGATGAGACGTTTACTCCCATATAAAGGCCATCACACCCAGGATGTTTGACTTGGGTAAATTACTACATTTGAAATCATAAACTATTGATTGCCGTTTTGCATAAATAATTCATAATAAATAAAAAAACATAGTGCGGAAGTTGGTGGGCTAGGCACAAGCGGAGGACAACAATAGACTGCTTGAATGAATTCTCAACCTTTAACTTGACTCGTCTCATGACGTTATTTTGACCTGCGAGGCAACACGTGACCGTTATCGTGATGACCTCTGGACACCTCTAGAACGGAAGCGCTATGCAGACTTGTTTAATAATAATTTTGGTACCTTTGCATTCACACACACACACACACACACACACACACACACACACACACACACACACACACACACACACACACACACACACACACACTATATATACATATTATATACATGTGTGTGTAAAGATTTATGAGTGTGTTACTTAATAAGTGTGTGCTTCTATTTTAGTGGATAATAATGATAATATAATGTGATGGATGTTATACACAGTTCATCAATTACTCATCAAAATCTGCATCTCTCATACTTACAAGATTGCGAGTAATAATCCCAAAAATATAATTATGTAAAGATTCCCTTTTAAACAATAGATAACAAAGATTATATATATATATATATATATATATATATATATATATATATATATATATATATATATATATATATATATATATATATATATATATATATATATATATATATATATATATATATATATATATATATATATATATATATATATATATATATATATATATATATATATATATATATATATATATATAAGTTTGTTTGGCTTGTTACTTAAGGGACATATCGTAGGCTTGTTTAGTCTGTAATGGTGTTGTGACGTAACTAATCAAATGGGGACCTAAGTTAGCAAGAGAGGAGTACTCGGGGTGGAGGTCAACTTGCACAGTAGAGAATTATGCTCAGGCTGGCGTATGCTAGACTAATATATATTCTATTTTTCTTTGTCTATATCAAAGCAACTCTATTGCTATATTAATCGAATATACATACTACTGAGAGTAATTTATAATATAGAAAAATTACAAGAGAAGTTCAACTGATATTTTTATGTCTGTATTTTAGTTACAATAGATAATGGTATGAAAAGTGTTGATGGTAATATTTGTGTGAAATGTTGTGTTGTGTCACATACTCAACACTCGAATGAGGAGGTTCTTGTTGAATGCTGGAGAGCACTCTAAGCTGGGGTAGTGGCTGAGGTTACTGTGGCAGCCTCTCCTAATGTACAGCTTCAGCCTAACAGCTATATATGAATGTATCATATATATATATATCTTTATAGACACACAAACTTCTCTTGTCACTTGCGTGTGTAAGATATACGATCAATAAAATATTGCACATACCTAATTGTGATTTGTTTCGTTTAAGTATATATCCACATCCCCGCCAGCGAGAATACCTCACTTGGATATCTAACCATGTGTTCTCGTTCAGAACATTCTCCTGTGTATATGTACATCTAGATTCACACAAAAGTTGATAATCCTACGAGAGGTTGATGCCAAACTGTAGAATCTATACGAATCTAGACGCCAGTGATTGGTGTTCATTTATGGAAACGTCTCCGCTATTGATCAGATGTTATTTCTCATGTTATTATGGCTTGAGAAGACACTTATCCTCTGGTAACGTTCCATGTCCCGAGCTCGATATGAGAGACATTTGGAAAACGTTTCCTTACACCTGTTGCCTATGTTCACCCAGCAGTAACTTGGTCAGGGAATCAGGGAATCGTAATATTATACTTACACTATACAGAGAGAGAGAGAGAGAGAGAGAGAGAGAGAGAGAGAGAGAGAGAGAGAGAGAGAGAGAGAGAGAGAGAGAGAGAGAGAGAGAGAGAGAGAGAGAGAGAGAGAGAGAGAGAGAGAGAGATGGGGGGGGGGGAGGAGAAAGGAAGGGGAGGAGACAGAGAGGGAGAGCTACGGTGAACCTGCTGCTTGTACTCATTCAATAAGCAGCTACTACTACGCAGCTCACAAGCCACAAGTCATCTTGGCTTGTGACACACATACACACATATATATATTAGATATACAATTATAAGGTGTTATAAAGATTCACTTACAGAGTAGCTGGTATGACATAGAGTACAGAATAATATGGCCGATACTTCAGGACTTATTACGGTATATAAGTGACAGGCATTTGTAATTGACTGGTGTGTGTATTTACCTAGTTGTATTCACCTAGTTGTGCTTGCGGGGATTGAGCTCTGCCTCTCAACTGTCAATCAACTGTTTCTAACTACTACTACTATTTTTTTCAACACCACACACACACACCAGGAAGCAGCCCGTGACAGCTGACTAACTCCCAGGTACCTATTTACTGCTAGGTAACAGGGACATAGGGTGAAAGAAACTCTGCCCAATGTTTCTCGCCGGCGCCCTGGATCGAACCCGGGACCACAGGATCACGTGTCCAGCGTGCTGTCCGCTCGGCCACCGGCTCCCTAGGGGGCCGGTATGTGTGTGTGTGTGTGTGTGTGTGGGTACTCACCTAATTGTGCTTGCGGGGGTGATGGTGGTGCTTTGGTCACACACACTGTGTGTGTGTGTGTGTGTGTGTGTGTGTGTGTGTGTGTGTGTGTGTGTGTGTGTGTGTGTGTGTGTGTGTGTGTGTATGAGTGTCCGTTGACAGTATAGCGAATTTGAGCGATAATTTTTCCCATCATTGATTTTTAAACCATTTAGTGATAATTTCCCTATAAATATAGCTATGTGAGCCCTCGCACTGAGGCGCTCATCAGGACAGACCTGTTTGTTTATTTCCGTTCTAGAACGATTTCTGATAATCTTACGAGAGAAAAACTAATTTCCTATTGGAGAGTCGGCTTGTCACTCTTAAGAGAAGAGAAATACTCAGTAGTTTGGGTCGTGGTAAACGATGGTCTTCTGTAGTATAGGCCTTGGGGGACGGTAGACCACTCCCACCAATACTGGCGCGCGCACACACACACACACACACACACACATACACATATGCACACACACACACACACACACACACACACACACACACACACACACACACACACACACACTCACACACGCACACACACAGGCTACCAGGCTACGAGGGGGGCCTCGTAGCCTGGTGGATAGCGCGCAGGACTCGTAATTCTGTGGCGCGGGTTCGATTCCCGCACGAGGCAGAAACAAATGGGCAAAGTTTCTTTCACCCTGAATGCCCCTGTTACCTAGCAGAAAATAGGTACCTGGGAGTTAGTCAGCTGTCACGGGCTGCTTCCTGGGTGTGTGTGTGTGTGTGTGGTGTGGGAGAAAAAAAAAAAGTAGTTAGTAAACAGTTGATTGACAGTTGAGAGGCGGGCCGAAAGAGCAAAGCTGCAAAAACACACACAACTAGCAAACACACACACACACCCACCGTAACACAACACAACACACACACACACACACACACACACACACACACACACACACACACACACATCGTAGAGCGTTTATCGTAGAGAGAGTACACACACTCACACCCTATGGGGCTTGTTAGCCTGGTGGATAGCGCGCAGGACTCGTAATTCTGTGGCGCGGATTCGATTCCCACACGAGGCAGAAACAAATGGGCAAAGTTTCTTTCACCCTGAATGCCCCTGTTACCTAGCAGTAAATACTGCTTATTTCCCTACTAGGGAAATACATTTCCCTACTTGGGAAATGAACGATGCAAAACTGCCATGAAGCGATGTTTGTTGATAGGAAAAGGAGAGTATTTCTCTCTCACTCTGAAAAATATATATTGCTATTTGTTATAAATATAACGACAATTGATAATTAATATGATCAACCGCGATATTTTGTGTCGGTAAGTTTCTTCATATTAACCAGGTACAAGTCTTCACTTCACTACTACTGGTTACTACTAGCTTACTACTAGTTACTGTTAGAGTAAGACTTATTTTCGCTATAACACTACTAGTTACAGCAAGCCTACTAATAGTTTTCTCTATCCTATTACTAGCTTAAACTACAAAGAAAAGTTAGCACTGGTTATATTAAAGAAAAAAAGCCCTAAGGAAGGAATAGCCTAACTTAAAATAAAAAGGAATTCCTCGCGGCTATTTCATACCGCTGTCTGCCGCATCCGACCGGGTCATTTAAGTGGAGTTTTCGGTGTGAACTGTTTGCTGGAGAACTAGGCTAAAAAAAAATTGGTCGCCCAACTCTGAAATTTGACCCTATTTTTACCTGGGCTTTTCTCCTATTTGTAGTGGCTGGCTTTCCGCGGTTCATT